AGAAAATCACTGATTAGGAAATTTGTAGAAATATGCACATAAAGTAGTGTAACACCCATCAAAAATTTCAGAAATTTTATACGATATATATATATTATATATAATATGTATGTATAAAAAAACTATCTATAATTTTTTTTTTTTTTTTTGCGCCCTAAGATATAATATTTCACTCTATGGTACTAAAAGCGAGAGCTATCTTTGATTGTAAAGCAGACGATGATCTAGAGTTATCTTTTAAAACGAAAGCAATTATTGTTGATAGTAAGTACAATTAGTTTTTTTCGCGTTCTTACAAACTTTCTTTAACTTTTCTTCGCTTCTAAATGTATTTTTTTAGTTACTAAAGCAAGCGATGAAGGCTGGTTTGAAGGTACATTAGAAGGTTCAAAAACTCGTGGCTTGTTCCCTGAAAATTATGTCGAATTTTTTGAAGAAGAGGTAGAGAAAAGATATATTAATGCTAACTTGATTAATCAATTGTTCGTTTATTTCATTTGATTACAAGAATGATCATAGTATATATAATTAATAATTTATAGAAACAACCGAAAGTCCCACCGAGACCTCCACCCCGGAAAACTTCAGTTGTGTCTAAAGATTCTAATGGAGTGAAATCAAACAGTACGCATTCACTCATCAAAGACGATCCGGTCGACGATTCCGGTATGACTTTCTTATTATTGATCTGATTTTAAGTATAGTTAATTTTTTTTTTTCTCTCTCTTTATTATTTGCTTAGTTCGATCATATTTAATCTTATAGATACAATCGAAACTTCACCTCCTGAACCAAAGAAACTTTCAGCTGCTAAATTTGCCATCTTTGAGCAATTGGATAAAAGTGATAATGCAAAAACTTCACAAAAATCACCACCAACAATAATAAAGCCAAAGGTTTTCCCGGTGAATAGTGAAGTATCGTCATCGAGATCGATCGGATCCAATTCGGAACGTGATGTGACAATATACACAGTTTCTGTTGATAAAAAGAAATCGGTTTTAGAACGTAATACAAAAGAATCAGGTTCTTTACCGACACAGTCTAAAGTAAAACCAGTTCCTCCAATAAAACCTAAAATTACTCCTCCCCCAATTGCTCCTAAGCCGGGGAAATTAGCTCCACCTTTACCTTCTAGGTCATCAAGTACGATCCTTACAATGGATAAAAAACCTCCTTTACCACCAAGAAAACCTTCAACTTCAAGTGTATCTTCAAATAATGAAGCACCTCCACTAATTCCTCTTAGACCATCATCAAATGGTTCGGTGGTAAGAAAATTGAAATTAAAGCTCTTGTTCCTTAACTTTGTTTTAATTAGAAAGATTTTTTTTTTTTTTTAATCATTTACAGTCAAATTCTTTCTTGTCTAAACAAGTTGATAAAACAACTGCGAAAGCAAGAACAGGCACTCAAGATGTTGCTGGCGAAGCAGCTAAACAAGGCGTATCAATTGGCGTTGCTCAGTTGAAAGGTAGCTAGATTTATGTTCAAATAATATTTTTATTGAATGAATTTTTTTTTAAAAAAATTAACAATATTTACTTTTAATGATTTTTTATGAAGATGATTTAAAACGTTCTAAATTTGGCAACAAGAAGATTCCTGGTCAAAATGCATTATTTGATAAATTAGAAAAGAATGCTCAAGATTTAGCTAGCAATCAAGCAAAGAAGAAAGCTGGTGATACTTTTGACAAGAACCTTGATGAAATTCAAAGTAAACCGAAGCCGAACCTGCCAATTCGAAACAATTTATCAAATATAAACAGTCAAATAACTTCTGCGCCACGACCGTCGGTATCTACAAGAAATACTGATGTTATAATTCCTCGTAGACCCAAATCACATGACAATCATTCTAGTGGTAAGAAATTTGGTAGAAATTATTTCTTTTTTTCCTTTAATCAGAATATAAATAGCATCGTATTATGAATATGTTTGCTTTTAATATAGAAAATAATTTATCCAAAGGTATTCCGTCTGACGCGAGAAACCGATATGAGATTATATATGACGCAAATAAAGATGATGATGATTCTATCGATGGTAAATGAAATTTTATATTAATTTACATTAGGAGAATTATGTTTTAATCGAAATTTATTTCTAAAAATGACAAAATTAGGTGCCGTTGTCAAAGCAATTTATTTGAGAAGCTGCTTAGATAACAAAACATTATCTAAAATCTGGTAGCGATTAAAATTTTCTTGTTTTCCTTTCTATTTGATGATTCTTTAAATTAATTAATAACTTTGCTATAGGGATCTTCTTGATACTGATGAGGATGGTCGGTTGTCAAGAAATGAATTTTGTGCAGGAATGTTTTTGATCGATGAGCGACTAAAAGGTCATCCTATTCCTGATGAATTGCCTTATGGATTATTGGAGCTCACGATTTGAATGTTCATCACATGTTAAGCGTTATTGGTCATTTGCACAAGAATAGCTTAAAATAAGTTAAATAAGTTTCTACTTCCTACCGACAAGTCGCTTATTATAATAATAGTTTGCCTTTTGTGTATCTTATTATTATTGGCCCTTCCCTGTTCTAATTATGTTTTGATTCCCGTATAATTTAAAATATTGTATTTCATTAATCAATCATAATCATTTGGATTTCATAACTTATTTAATTGGTCGAGCTCCTGGGATGGCATAGTCGGACCGATTTATTTCTGACTCTGATATCTAATTAGGTAATGATAAATCATAATATTTATAAAGTTATAGCTTTTTCTATGGTAGCGTTTTGTAGATATATAAAGTTATTAGATTCAAAGAATTTTTGTTTAAATTATAGCTTTGATTAAATTAAATAAGCAAAGATATAGTAACCAAAATTTTATTAGATTTATTTAGACTATTATTTCTTAAATTGTTAATTTTCTATTTGGTTTCAAACTTAATATATATATATATATATATTTTTGAAATATAAAACTTTTAATTTTAATAATATAATTAATAAATAAAAAATCATAGCTTAATTTTTATTTTAAATAAAATTTTATTATAATATTTTAAAATTTTGTTTTTATATCTTAGTTTTTTTTAAACTTTATATTACATTCTTTTTTATACTATAATACTTATATATATTAATAAATTATAATACTTATTATATGATTTAATATTAATTTATAATTTATATCTCAAATATATATTATATTTATAACCTAAACTAATTATTTTAAAAATTTATTTTTTAAAAATAATATCCTTTTAAACCATCTTGTAAACTTGTTTTACTATACTTTTTAGATTTTTCTTATAAATTTTAATAAGCAATTTTTATAATTTTAAATTTAAAATATAAGAAAATTTAATAATATTTATTAAAGTTATTAATTTAACTATTTTAATATTTATATTTAATAATATATGCTATAAAGTTTTAAGAATAAGCATTTTATTTATGCTTATTTTTAAATTAATTTTAAAATTATAAAATCAAAAAAATCAAAATCAAAATATTGTAAATTTTGTAAATAATATACAGATTTTACAAATCAATTTAAAATAAAGTTTATTACTTATTCTTTATATTTTATTAAACAAAAAGAAAATTTGTTAATTATTCAAAATAATATAGAAAAGTAATATATTATCTAAAAGTATTATAATTAAACAATAAATTAAAATTATAAAAAAAGAAATAAATAAAAATTATAAAATGTTAATTTTGATTGAATTTTTATTTTGAAGTTAAAAAAAGCTTATAATTAAATAATTAAATAAAAAAAATAAAAAGTTAACATTTAACTTATATTATTATATAAATTAAAATATTAGAAATTTAAAAAATTTAAATTATATAGTATTATAATAGTAATAATAAAATAATTTTAAATTAATAAATATTAGTTATATGTATTTATAAAAAAGTAAAGATTATCCTTAAAGAATTATTAGAAAAATTTTATCAATTTATTACTTATCTATTAATATAAATATTAGTATAATTTAATATAATAATAATTTAGTATTGATCAATTAAAAAACTGTTTATATTTAAAGAATAGATAATAAAAAAATTGTTTTATCATTCTTTTAAGTTATATCACTAATATAAAAGATTAAATAAAATTTTTAATTTTATTAAAGTCATATTATTTATAAATTTTAATACTTTTTATTATAGATAGAATTATATTATTACAATATATATTTATATTAAAGAAAATTAAAATATAATAAATAAGTTTTTAATATAATAATTAATTTCAAAAAAATAATTAGATAAATACTAAATTAATGATAAAATATTTTAATTATTTTAATAATAATCAATTATATATTTTTTTAAAAATATTCTAAAAAAATCTATTAAAAAGAAATTTATAATAATATTAATTTAATAATTATTTAAATAGTTTGATAAGCATCTATTAATCACTTAATATTAATATTAATAACAATTTTTTATAATAAATAGTATTTATAAATAATAGATAGTAAGATTATGAAAAACTATTACAAAAAATTTTAAATAATAATATTTATAATTAGATAAAAATATTTGTGAAAAAAATTTTAATATTTTTGTAAAATGTAAAATAATAAATTTATCAGATAATAAATATAATAATTAGAAACTTTAAATAATAATAATAATAAGTTACTATTTATTACTATTGGTGATCAGCATCATTGTCACAAATTTTCTTTTTAGATATTTATAAAATCCAATTTGAATTTTTGCTAAAATATCTAAAATTCTAAAAAAGCATTTTAGTTAAAATTATAAATTTTAGTCAAAATTAAAGATGAGATATAACAAATAATATGATTTTATATTCAAAAAAATTATATGAAAGATATAAAATAGGAGAGATAAATTATTTATATAAAAAAAGTTATGTGAAACCTATGCTAATTACTATTAGTAATATATAGTAATTTTCTAATAATAATCATAATAATTATTATAATAATAATAATAAAATAAATTTTTTGTAAAAATTATTACTAGTAAAATAAGATATATTAATATATTTATAATTGATTTTAAATATAGAAAGTAAAAAAATTATCAAAATTATTTTTTTAAGTTAATATTAAATCTGAATTTATTTATTAAATAAATAATAATTAGTTTATAAAATAAAAAAAATATTTTGATAAATTTTCTCTTTTTTAATTGTAAAGCATCTATATTATTAATAAATTTTTATAAAAATACTTATTTTTAAATAATAAATATTTTTAAAAGTAAAACTTTATAATATATATGCTTTGATTATATATTTTTATTATTTATCATTAAATAATTTATTTTTAATTTTAAATTACCTTATAAGCAGTATGTAAAATTTATGTATACTAATATGCATATATACAAAATGATACAAAAATCAGTGATGTAAGATTAACTATTTATGTAGTGTATGACATAAAAAATAAGATATATATTATGTATAATTTGTGAAACTACTATTATATATCATATAGTAAAGATCAGTATAATATAATATGATATACTATATCATGACATAATAAAATATAAAATAAGTAAAAAAAATTTTTTACACTAATTTTTGTATCACTTTTTTATTGCAAATAATTTAAAATTCACATTAAATAATAATAAAAAAATATTATTTATAGTTAGTAAAGAAAATATTATTTTTAAAGAAAACTTATATAAGGAGGTACTTTATTATTTTAAAAGTTTACTTCATAAATATATAAGATAACAAAAAATATTTTTCAATATAGTTAAGTAATATAACTCTTATTTAGAAGAAAATACTAAAATATATATTACAAAACAAATGACTATTAAAACTATATTGTATTTATTAACTCCTATTGAATACCAATTTATAAATATTAATAAAGTTGTAGTAATCTATCATGTTAAAGGATATTAAAATGTAAATTCAGTATTTATAGATATAAGTTTTTAAATTAATTATATAATAAATAAAATTTTAAATAATTATTAATTCTTTTTATTTTTTTTAAGATCCAATATCTTATAGATGAATTAAAGATGACGCCTTAATTAATTGCAACAGGTGACAAATAAGCATCACAATGTTGCAACAAATTGCAACATTATTAAAATTTAAGTTGCAACAGGTGA